CGTCGTGGTCACCGACGTCGAGCCGCCGCCACCGGTCTGCTGTCAGCCTGCCTTCACGGAAGATGATATCAGGGCAATTGCGCTGGAAGTGCTGAAGCAGAACCTCGAGGCGCTGGCCGTCCAGTTCAAAGGCACTCCAGGACTGGCGGGAAGACCGGGAAAGAGCATCGTCGGGCCGCCTGGTGAGAAGAACAAGATTGGGAGGATGGTTGAAAGTGTAATCTGTTGTTGTTGTTTTTGAAAAACAGGTCCTCCTGGAGAAAAGGGAGAAAGAGGCGATCGTGGTGAGCGCGGGTTTGTCGGCCAACCAGGGGCCCAGGGCGTCACCGGAAACCAGGGCCTCAGAGGAGAGAAGGGCGAAAGTGGAAGTAGAGGGCTCAGAGGAGAAACTGGGCCGCAAGGACTCAGGGTAAAGCTGTTTATTGTTGTTGGTTTTGGATGGTAGACCTAATCTAAGCCTGATTTGTTTGATCTAATAAACAGGGCCCAGCTGGAAGGACAGGAGCCAGAGGCGCTCCCGGAGTTGGCTATCCAGGAACCAAGGGCGGTAAGTTGTAAAAGATGAAGTGCTTTTTTCAATGTTCTGATTCTAATCATCTTCACATTTTGGTGTTTGCTCGTTTAAACCTAGAAACTGGCCCCAGTGGCCCACCGGGAGTTTCCGGCGTGAGAGGCCCTGCCGGCCCGGTCGGCCCACCCGGCGTCTGTGAGATGTGCAAAGCCTTCAACTTTGACACGCTGCAGCTGCTGCTCTCGCAAGGTCAGCGACAGATCAAGGGACCCTTCATTGTCAACACCAAGAGCGGTTAACAAGCAGATCGGTAGTTCAGCAGCAGTTAGAATTTGTTGTTAGAGAGAATTTTAATTAAATGAACAAGTAAAAATGATATTTTTACCCAATAAACTCTTCACTTTTTAAACTTTCGCTACACTGGATCACTTTACTACTTTCCATGGTTATTGAGTCCACATCAGACCAGGGCCACCACCATGACTATCTTTAAATAGCCTTGGGTACCTCAGACCATCACCCCCATGTTGACTAACCCCTTATAGATTTTTCAAAATTAACCNGCTTTAAATAGCCTTGGGTATACCTCAGACCATCACCCCCATGTTGACTAACCCCTTATAGATTTTTCAAAATTAACCAAAAAAATTTTATTGCAGTTTCTTAAAGTACTTGACGAGAGGACTCCAAATCTGAAAAAGTTTTTTTCTTTATGACCACGGGAACATGATCAAAATGAATTTTAAAGTTAATTAAAAATAGATTAATAGTTTCCAGTGTTGGCCGCTACGAAATGTGAGGCCCCACCAGCGCAGTTTGAAAATTGTGAAAAATCGCCAAAAATCGCCAAAATCGTCAAAAATACTCCAATTTTGTTGTCGATTTTTCAAAATTTACAAGGATATATAGCCTTACAGGTTTGGCCGATTTGACCAAAAAAATATTATTGCAGTTTCGGAAAGTACTCAATGAGAGGATTACAAAAGTGAAAGAGTTTTTGCTACGGTAGAGATACAAACAAACGGTTTTTTGTTTATTAAAGAAGCATTTGTACAAAAGAGAGAGTGAGAAAGTGGGCGTATTGTCTAGTGTAATCATCACCGCCTCTTTCCCTTCTTCGGCAACATCATCTTTTGATCCCACTGTGAAATGTACGGCACCGAGCGGATGGACTTGAGGAGCTTTTCGTAGAAAACCGTAGTTTCTTTAATTGAAAGCTAAAGACTTAGTGCACATTCTCTGTCTAAAATAAGTTAGTTTTGAATAGTTTTGGTGTAGTAAAAAACAAAATTTTGCTTCTTGACCGGTAATTTTTGTTATACAATCATTAGGGAATGTTTATCAATGCTGGCCGGCGGTGGGTGACTGGTCTTCACTGGCTTTGGAGCAGCAGTTCTTCAGCAGAAACGGGCCTTCTATGTGAGTACAAGATGAATCGTTTCAGGTGAACACCAGGATGGAGGTTGAAGAGGGAGGCACCGAAACAGTCAAGATATTTCGGTGAGTCGATTTCAGCATGGAGTTCTTCATCGCCGAACTGAAGTTGACAGTTACCACAATTGAACACACTAATCTGGATGGTCTGCAGGTTGGGCATCGTCCACGGCAGATTCAACCACTCAACCTGAGAGTGAGAGGTGATGCGCAAGTCTAGGTCAAGAGCACGCACGGAGTTCAGTCGCGCCAGTGGACGTGTTTCTTTCACTTCACTAAGGTTTATCTCAATTGCCAAGTAGATCAACTGATGAAGTTGAGAGAGATGAGAGAACAGATGTCTAACTTCAGTTGATTCAATGTGAGAGTTTTCAATTTCCAGTGAAGTGATAGAGCGGAACTGACTGCAGAGAAGGGGCACCTGGTCAATGCTGTAGAGTGGGTCCCTTCCGAAGCGAACAATTCGACTGCGCAGAGGCTGACTGAGGGTGAGCAGATCTTCGGTATTGTCAGAGAGCAGGTGCACCTCAAGGTCGGCATTGTTCGCGGCATTCCGTTCGAGGGAGCGCAGAAAAGCGTCCAAAATATACGATTTGAAGACCACTGTCTTTAGCTGGGCAAGTATGGACAGGTCGGGAACATCGGTGTCAGTACTCCAATCAAGGGCCAGCAGTTTCAGAGCAGTCAGACTGTTGATGGCGGGGATCAGCTCACCAGCCGTTGTTCTGTCCACCATCAAGTTGGTCAGTTGACACTGCCAATTGGGATGCTGCAGAAGGGAAACCAAAGTGCCAATGTGCTCACTGCTGAAAGTGATGAACTTCAGATCGGTGACGGCAGAGAAGATGGTGACGATCTGCTCAATGGTGGCAGTGTCAATCAGTCGTAGTTGGCCCAATCGCAAGATATTCCGTTCGCTGAGACGAGTGGTCATCGGGTAGTCGGGAAATGTCTCGCCAGGGATGTCCTTCAGCAGCAGCATGATCGGCTCAGAGGCAAGGGAAAAGGAGTTGAGTGTGCATTTAAGAGAAAATGGGGATTCATAATAATTCCAAACGGTGATGACCAGTGTCTTCACTTTGCGGTTGGCCGCTCTCACCAGAACGGCACA